GTGTGTGTGTGTGTGAGTGTGAGTGTGTGTGAGTGTGAGCGTGTGTGAGTGTGCGCGTGTGTGAGTGTGTGTGTGTGTGCGTGTGTGAGTGTGTGTGCGTGTCCACTCACCGCCTCAAACGTCTCCTTCCTACTCATCAGAGCGTCCAGTTCCTCTTGAAGGGAATCCAGCTCCTGGATGCAGATGAGAGACGGCGGATGAGGCGTGACAGTGAATAACAGTAAACTTGGAATCATTCTCACAAATCATTCAGACTTCAATTTGATGTTTGGAGCCAGTAGTGATGCGGTTAACTGAAGTAAACTAGACTTTATGTAGACCTGCGTCACTTATTGATTTTTGTTTTTAGCATTAACATCCATTTGGCGTACACTTTTATCCAAAGTGACACGGAAAAGTGACTAGTTATTTCTCCAGATCTTGCATTGCCTGGGAATCAAGCCTATGACACTGGTGTCGCTATCGCTCTTCATGTTTTACTGTTTATGTCATATACGACTGTCAAAAAACAACGGGGGACACAGTTAAAAAAAAATCCTTTAAAAAAATGAATTGAGGAAGTTAAATGAAAAAGTTCAAAGAAAAAAACACTTCAATATTTATCCAAGTAAACAAAAACAATGAAAATCAACATTGGGTCAGGTACTACAATGATTCAATAACTCACTGAACACCAGTCACAGTCATATAACATGAAAAATAATAAAAAGTATAATAAATAAATAATAAAAAGCATTTCCTGAAATACAAGCAAAGAAACACAACATACTAACTTTATTAGTATTGCAGATCATAAAAATCATAAAATACGAAATTCCACCCACTTCCCACCATACTTTGTATCTTCCACTCCCATAATGCATCACAGCAAATGTATAAAAATTATAATAAAAGAATAAAAGTCTTTTAATAAGTCAAGATGGCCGATCCATGTGAAAGCCAACGGTTTGTTGAAGCAATATAAATGAAATGTCCATTGATTTAGTGCTCAGGTGGTCAGTCTGACAGTTGTGTGTGTATGTGTGTGTGTGAGAGTGTGTGTCTGAGTGTGTGTGTGTCTGAGTGTGTCCGAGTGTGTGTGTTTCTGTGAGTGTGTGTGTGTATGTGCGTGCGTGTGTGTGTGTATGTGCGTGCGTGCGTGTGTGTGTGCAAGTGCGTGCGTGTGTGTGTGTGCAAGTGCGTGCATGTGTGTGTGTGTGTGTGTGTGTGTGTATGTGCGTGCGTGCGTGTGTGTGTATGTGCGTGCGTGCGTGTGTGTGTGTGTGTGTGCAAGTGCGTGCGTGTGTTTGTGTGTGTCCAACCGCTCTCCACATCAAGGTAAAGGTTAGGTTTTTAAACAAAGTATGGGTTCATATCTTTATCTAAAAATTGTTAACGAAAGGGAATCCAGGGAACGGAGAGCAGCTCTGTGACAATGACACATTAGTGTTGTTACTTGCATTCTGCTGAAACAGTTAGCACACCAGTTCTTAGCGTGGTATTATTGGGTGGAATGAGACAAACCTGCATTAGCTCTTCATTGGTGGCTTTCATCTCAGTGTACTTGGCCTGTTTATCAGCAGACATCTTCTGAATGATGTTTTGGGCAGCCTGCTTCTCTTGGACTATATCATCCTCCACAGCTCTGATCATATCCTCTTTCCTGAGAAAGAGAGAGAAAGTTGTTAGTATACACCATAATCATCCATCCTCATAACACTGAACATCATTCAGCGGCAGATCCTCCTATCATCCTCTGGACACTGGGCATCACAGGAACCGCACTCCTCTGGACGTACAGGTATATTCTTCAGGGAACCTTGGGAGAAACCAGACTCAGTTTGGGCCAGTTCTCCTCTGGCCAGACCAAACCAGCATGATGTGGTTTAATTCCAGGCTGCAGCACAGGTCAGATTGGACTAACATAACAGTAATGCTTGAGGTTGAACTAAGCAGTTTATTATTTATATATATATATATTTTTTTAATGTATATGTATAGTTTATTATTATTATTTTATTATTTACAGATGTAATTTCAGACGTTTCAGTCTCTTGTTACATTTAAAAAAAAAAAAAAAATAAATAAATAAATTTTAACAATACAAAACAATTCTGTTGTCATTTATGTAATCTAGGGCTAGCTGTGCATTAAATGATTTTAATGCATGACGTGGAGGCAAAGGACCACTCGACGCACAGCAAAGATCTAGCATTCTGCCCGCTTTAAATCAGACACAGAGATGAAGTAGTGCGGTAAGATCACATTTATTTGAACGCATGAATTATAGCATTGATTTGAATTAATTATTGAGAGAGAGAGAGAGAGAGAGAGAGAGATGAAAGTTGCGTATGTGAATTGTGTCTGTGCGTCTCACTCTGCAAACTGAAGCTGTGAGTTTAGTTATTTAAAAAATATACATTTTACCCTCTAGTAGCTGAGAAATATAATGTATTGATTCAGTATCGAAGCTATGCTGTGCTCCTGAATGTTTCTGTGTGTGTGAGTGTGTGTGTATTTGTCTGTTCAAGCACGATAAGACGAAAAGTGAACTCAGATCTGTAATGGTGCGCTGTCTGAGACGCGGCTCTCTGTGTGCGCACACAGAAAACAGAGTACCGAATTGAGTTGTCTTTCGCAATCTTGCACATCTACATCAAGAAAATCAGATCGTGTCACACAACTCCTTGTCCAGGTTCTCTATCCTGAATTTCTGAAATGCTCTTGAGCCTAAAGAGTGCAATAAAGCACACTTCACATCTCGGCACACCTCTAAAAACTGTTACCACAATAAACAACTTTGCTGTCAGGTAATATCCAAATTTAGACAATTCACAGTTCCATGGCAACTTATCTTAACAAATTAAGATAATTATTTCAGTTTATTAAAAAAGGAAAATGTAATTGTATGTCTAACAGTCATTCTAGAATCTGTCAGCCTATAAAGATAGAATAAAGATTATTTTGATGATTGTATTAGAGACTGTACCAAAGTTCACTATTTATGAATTTGACAGACATGTTTATCCTAAGCAGCTTATATTGTATTTAAGATATACATTTTTATCACTTCATGCATTCCCTGGGAATCGAACCCATGACCTTGGAATTGCTATCGGCGTGCTCTACTGCTTGAGCTACAGGAACAACACAATTAAACACATAGTTCATCAGAAGTCAATCTTTAGCCAGTCTTTTATTACAGAGAGCAAAGGTCTGTCTCTTTCTGAGCTCTTTCAAGCATGTGTTAACACAGACTATTACACAGCACTCAAGGGTAAGTGATTCTTACATTCATATCTATAAAGTTTTCTTTTATTTTTATTTTAACTATAACAAAAGTGAAAAACTGATGTTTTATGCAGATTATGAGGCAAAGATCCAAAATGCTATCATAACAGATTGACTCAAAGAAATGTAATGCTTAGCAGCCAGTTAAAACAAACTGATTACGTTATGAAAACCTGGAATAATGACATTATAATGGTCACCACAGGCTTTTCTTTACTTTAAAGTTACAAAGAGGCTGTTCGAATGATCCATTAAATGACTTTTTCATGAACTGTTCCCTCCTGGTGGAATGACCTGCCCAATGAGACTTGTCATTTGCACTTACAATTGTTGCTCTTTTGATCGCTTCTATTGTCCTCATTTGTAAGTCGCTTTGGATAAAAGCGTCTGCTAAATGACAAAATGTAAATGCTTAAAAGCAACTTCATTTCCAGGCATGGTTAAGAATAACCTGTAACAAAACGAAACACAAATATCACTTTTGAACTGAACCAACCATGAAGCAAATGGAGACGACAGGCTGTCAAGAGAAATACAGCAATCAAGAGTTAAACGGGCGCACAGGGCGTAAAACACTGACACATGTAAATATCCAACAGGGCTTGTGAGTGCGATATAGCACAGGAAAGACAAAGGAAGTATATAGGAGAAAGACAAAGGTTTTTGGAGGAGCTGAGGAGAAAAACACAGCTACAGTTTTCACTAGAGTCTTTTAAATCCAGTAATAAGAATTGGCCCAGCATTACTATTACTGCAGATCCCGAAAAACACATTCATATTAAAGACGTGATCATTCAATAAATAGTAACTATATTAGACAACGTACTATAATGACCAAGTCTCTGTTAGAGACCTTGAGAATCGCACACATGAGAGCTAGTGCAAAGCATATGACACTGATTCTGCAATTTAGACCTTCCAGTTGGTCTGTGTTTATAAGATGAGAATGAAACAAGCATCTGTCCTTAATGCAACTGAACAATAATGCATGTCAGCTCGCTCCGCTAGAGAACACTGGGTGACTGTGTGTCTCATGCCAGCCAGACAAGACCATGAGTATCTTTGTGGCTGATGGCAGATAACATAAAACAGCAACAAACACAAGCAGAGAGACACGGGACAGCAGCATGCTGATAGGAGAGGGACTCGTCTGCACAAAGATCCTCTTTGTGTGACACTCATGAAGAGGGTTTTTACTTTCTCCTGAGCATAAAGAGCAGAGAAGGTTCTTGCTCTTTATGACTACAGCTCACAACAGACAGGACAATTTAGCAAGAGCTCTCTTTCCTCTTATGGACAGGACAGGTTTGTTTGGTTGATGCAGTGCTGTTATCACAGGTAACACAGATCATGGCCGGGAGACAGATGCTTGTGGTGTGGGTCGCAGCGGTTCTGATGAGCTCCGGTGTAATCGCACAGCAGGTGAGTGTCTTTCACACTCAGTTATGCCAACACGTTCTGTATCAAAGTGATATTCATGTCTAAGTTACTGTCTAACAATTAGTCACAGTCAAATCATAGACTGGAGAATTACGAGTTGATGTAAAACACAGTGAAAAGAGGGGACCCGCAGTCTCCTGTCCTCATGGCTCGTCAAGCATTACACTCCGATGTCAAACAAACATTCACCATTTGTGTTCAGGTGGACATGAGCAACGCATCTCTGACAGAGATTCCTGAAGATACACCTACAAACATCACCGAATGGATCCTGAGCAACAACTCACTTG